ATTATTAGCTTTCTCACAAAGGTAACAAATCTTACAGATCTCGGAATATTTGAAGCCTTACAGATCTCGGAAGGAAACTTCAAGTTTTCTTCTTCGATTTTAATTGAAAGGTCAGAGACACTCGATTTTCATTTATTATATTCTTCTTCGATTTTCACTCATTTGTGTTCTAGTTTGTGTTGAATTTTTTGTCTAGAAACTCCAATGGAAGCAAGGAAGGGCATCATCTGTGGACTGGCGGCAGCTGGAGGGAAACCACAACTCAAACAACGACAGCCACAACAAGTACCAATCAACACAGAACAAGAACGAGGACAGTGAGGAAATGATGTACAGGAGATAACGAGAGCAGAGTTCAGACGCTCTCTAGGCTACTTGACACGCATTGAGGAACCTGAAGAAGACATCGACCCAATGTTCAGACGCTCCCTGTATGCCCGCAATTCAGCTTCTATGAGACGCCAACCACAAGCACAAGGAGAGTCCTCACGAACCAAGGGTGGTCGTCATTACTAATGGCACTGTTCAATAATTGTTGTTTCTGTGTATGTTTCTTTGCTCAATAGATCTTTTGTCAAGCATACTGTAATCATTTTGCCATCTTCACAATTTGTCTACAATTATTGAAAATTCAATTTTCCTTTCTTTCCTACATTTACATAATTAAGCAATTCTATAACCCAAAAATATATTAGACTGGAATTCAAACCAAGAAATTTGTCAATATAGAAAATCATTGGGTATTCGGAATTAGCTATGAAATTAGACGCCATAGCACGAAATATATGTTGCATAATAATATTCAAGGACAAAAGAAAATTGCTATTATATGTTCAAACGTCTAAAACAAAAACAGTTATAAAAAAGTATTCCATATCACAAATTACTTGTCATAATAAAACTTTGTATGGCACCCAGCAAACGCCATTTAAAAATTTAATATGACATAAATATGATGCTATTAAACAACAATACTACAACACATGAGAAACGTTGCCATATCGATTTTTTTAACAGCACATCCAAATACGCTACGATAGGCCGGGGGTCTACCATAGCTGCGGCGTCACTGCGTTCTTCGAAACGCTACGAAAACCATATTATAGCGTTTTCTCGGTGCTACTAATACCCATATTTCTTGTAGTGTACTTAATACCTTAACCTAGTATAGCAATCAAATCCAATCTACCAACAACTTAGCAAATACTAGCCTTACTCGCCCCTCTATTGACTTCATTTCTTATATAAAATAAATGTGTAGGCTTTACCTTGGGAGTATCGATCAAAGGACAATTGGACTAAACTCCTGTAAGTATATGAACACACTGGCAAAAGGTCTTTTCTGATCCCTTTCTTCCCTCTTTCTCTCTTCTCTGAGTATTTTCTAATTCAATGTCAGTGAGCTAAGACAGGTACTAGTGCCTTCCATCTTGTTCACCTTTACTGATTTTTTTTTGACAAAGTGTAGGCGAACAGTGGGGTTATCAGTAATGTACCTACCTCTCGCTTCCACAATGTGTGATCATTCGTTTGAGTTAGAATAGTGGGCTCATCGGCAATGTACCTACCCCTCTGCATCTCAGGAAATAATTTCAATCTTTTATATTCCTAATACATGCCAAAGAGAGACTAAGAGAAGGGAACCAGAAACACACAGACTTTCCATACCTTCCAGACTTGCAGTAAGATTCATATCCAGTGTATACCAAGCCCCAAGAAAAGCGGATTAGTCAAATTAGGGTTGGAAGTCCGATTTGATTCCTTCAGAATTTATAAGCAATTGTGGTCTAAAGGGAGGATTATCCCTTTTGGTATCTTTAGTAAACTCTGAAAACAATAGTCCTAAGAATGGTGCTTATAGTGTGGTAAGTAAAATAGAAAATCTGATCACAATCCCTTTCTTCTCTTTTTATAATACTTTCTTTTTAATTTAAAAAATTTGAAAACTTGTAGATATTATAAATATAGTAGATAAGTATAGTAGAAAAACTCAAAAATAACAAATAAGCATTAGCGAACCTTCCCCAGACTTAAATAACATTGTCCCTAGTGTTAACCCGTCTTGGTTTGGTTAGGATAAATAAATCATAAGTAAAAGAATGAAAAGGTTTAGAATACTAGACTCTGTAACGATGATCGATTGATTGTGGTAGATGGATGTTGATCGATGATAGGTGGTGAAGGTTGACCAATGGTAAAACAATCCCATCCATCGACCGATGGTGGACTGGTGAAATCGACCGATGGTCGGCTCGAACTGTCAATATAGTTTCATAAGAACCTTCATAGTTATTAAATAAAACCAAAATTCAAACATAGCATAAATAAAAATAAAAATAAATACTACAGTGGATTAACTCCCACTCAGCGCTTGTTTATAGTCTTTCGCTTGACGTTTGTGAGGTGGTGGACTACATAAGTGGTGGCACATTAATCGTTGGAAAACAAACATCCACTTCCTCTCTAGCCATATTGGACCCATGCACCTATGAAACTGGAGATATCTTTCTCACGTCTGGCCATAAAGCTTCTAGCCTTTCCATTGCAATTTCTATTGCGCTGGTTCTCCTCTGAAGGTGTTGGACACAAGTTCGCTACATTCCAATTCTGAATGTCTCTGATGTATCCTCAAAACGGTTGTTGATGTCTTCCTTCATCAGGTCGAGATTGAACTCAATGCTGTCAAGCTTATCTTGCGGAACTTCTTAGAAATGAATAATTTTTTGTCGCGCTTAGCATCGATCAATGGTAGATTATGGGTATCAATCGCTTGTCGTGTCTCTGCTTCAATAGCACGTTGCTTCTGAATGGTATCAAGCTCATGCTCTGTGTCCTACATAAATGTGGTCAAGTGGGTGTTTCTCCTATCTATGGGATAGTAAACATCACCAAGCCTCTTGCAGTAATCTTCAGATGACATCTTCTAGGTTTTGTAGATTCCATTCACTATTTAGTCAATTTATGCCTGCTGTAGGTGTCTGATGTTGGTACTGATCTGGTGACTGAATCTGATGCTGGTGTGGCTCTGGTGAATTTTCCTAAACATGTTAGCTCTTTCTAGAACTGCTCTTGATGTTTTCTTTGTGCACATTGACAACTCTGCCGTCAATAGCTCTTGTGTTGTGAAATTCATCTCTGTAAATGACATACTCATCTTTCCTTTCCCAATGGAAAATTCTTTGTCCATTATGAACCGCTCTGGACCCATAGCCAACATGGCTATCAATCGGTATAGGAGGTACCCTATCGATCGATACAAGTCGAGTGTGATCATCGTTTGGCCAGTCTTCGGAGTAATCAGCCCTTTCCTATGGAAGTGTAGTGTTGATCGATGCGTTGTGTTGGCCATCGACCGATGCTCGATTGTTTTTATATTTGAGTTGTTGCTAAAAAATTTTGTTGGCTCCATTAGCCATTGCAAGGATGTCTCCAATGTCTTCTTTAGAAATGGGTAGGATTCTTCCGTCCATAACCATTGCATAGCCTTTTCGGTCGCGTAAAATGCCTAACTCATCCGGTTGTTAATAACCGTAACCATCTGGTGATGCTGTTATAACTGGTTTGGGCTCTGCCTGCTTGGTGTCGTGGTTGAAAGGTGCCGTCGATCAATGGTTTCTACCATAGGGCTTCCATACGTCTGAAGTAATCAGCATGTTCGGCCGTGAAACAACAGCGTTCATCTTCATCTGGGTAAGTCTCTATGACGTGTTCGTACACTGTAGGGTGCCTCTTTGCGAAGCTAGTATCGATCTATGTTGCATCTATGTCGTCAATCGATGCTCTATTCTGTTTTGTGGGAGTAGCTGTTGTGAAATCAGCTTCTTCTAGGGCAAGACCACAATATTCAAATGAGTGCTTCGTCGTAGTAGTCAGCGTACTCCTCTTCAGTCTGATGTTGAGCTGATGTGGGATCACGAGTTGAATCTGATGTTGGATCTGATGTTGGATGATGAGTGTCGATCGATACTGAAGAATGGAAATTGATTGTTTGTTGAGAAACATGACCATCGATTGATAGAATGGGTTGAGTGTCGATCGATGCTTCATCATCAGACTCATCATTCGGCTCATAATCGCAAAAACATGTTGCAATAAGACATGCATCGTTACCAAATTCGATGAGAGTATATCTATTCTCATGTTTGTTGCCAAATCACAAACTGTTCCAAGCAATAAAGAAGAGTGCTTGGCGACCTGGATATCCATAACAATGAAGTCTATTGGTACAAAGGCATTCAGAATTTGTAGTGGAATATCTTTCACCATTCCTATTGAATTCAATTCAGAGCAATCCAAATGAATCATTGGAAGACTCCACTTTAAGGTTGAGTTTCTCTGATGAGGTGTCCACAGTTTGATAAGAAAAAAAAGATGAAGTGTTCATAGAGGTGGAGATTACAGAAAGCATACAGATTAATCAATCAATATAACTTGACTTGATTTACTTCTCGTCCGCGGAATGCATTTTATCATATGCTCTTGCCGCCGTCACTGAAACATTCCAGGTTTCATCAAACATTTTTGGCATCACCACTTGCAATCAGTCGGGATGTCACGGATGGAGTCAAACGATGGGTTTGTATTTAATCAAAAGTCCCGCCGACAATGAAATTGCTTATTAGAAGCTTCACACAATTAAAACTTTTACCACTGTGTTGATGTATACAACTTTGAATATGCTTATTTAAATGGTCAAACTGATTGTTGGAGTCTCCGGAACTTGGCTGAAGCTGAATGAATGTCTAGTCAGGGTTAGGTTTGGATGGACCAATGACAAGAATCTGTCAGGAAGCCCGGGACAGAATATAGATTGACACTAACTAAATATTAAAATGATCCCACGCCTATATATTAACAAATGATTATTAGATTTATGATTTCATTTACTTATTAATCTGATTTATTATTGGTTGATCATTAGTACTGTCGACAGTCCACACAACGAGCTAACTAAACATCTCTTGTTCAAAGAAAGACTCTTACATGATGTAACCTAATCTTCAAACTGACGATGGCAGTGTCCCAGACTTTCTCTGTTCCTCCCATTTCTCAACCTTCCATATTAAGAAGAAAAAAAAGTATTACGAAACAAAAGTATAAGTTAAGAAACTATAACCAACAATGATACTTGCTCACCAGTGTTTCAGGGCACATCGTACGTACGTAATCTCTCAAACTGTTACAATCATTCGTATCTCTTCCCTCAAGACACCTATGTATATAAAATTAAAATATTTTTAAAAATAGTTATCTTAGTCATTTAATTTAGTTACAGATAAATTTTAAAACTTACGTACCTATGGTATTGCATATACCGATTGAAGCAATGTCGAGTTTCATTAGTCACCAGAAACAGATCATCCCTCACCGAATCAGTCTCTCCACCACCATCTTCTCCTCTCTTAGCTCGAAACGTGGTTTCGTTCTGGGGTGGAGGCGACACCGTGCCGGGAGAGTGCGCTGGTCTTGGCGCTTGCTGGCCTTTCGCGACTTTACTCAGGTCACGTGATCTCATCTTGTCGTGTGGGTCCATTTGCGCGGACGACATCTCTGATCAGCTTGCCTCTTTGAGGAGTTTTGTGTTCAACTTTGTTTGGCTTTGAAAGCAAAGTTTTAATACAGAGGTTTGATGCTGCGTCATAGACTCATAGCGGTTGAGTATACGTGGCATTGTCGACAGACCCGTACGTGTTTTCTCTGGTTCAGTTCGGTCAAAACAAATGTGCTGTCCAAGTGTTCTTTATTGTGATATTATGGGTTAGCATGGTAAACATTGAGCCCAACGTTGAATGACATACACTTTTCTAAATCGAGACCTGAAACCTTAATAAACCATTCCACTGCTTTACTTTACTTTTACATTAATTTTATTCTGGAACAAAGTAAAGTGTCCTCCAATAGTTTATTCTAGATTTGACTCTAAAAATATTTAAATATATTTTTAAACTAAAGAAATTTACTTATAAATTTATAAATCGATCTCTTATATTTGTTCTCTTACAAACTTTTCATAGAATATATATTTATATCAGATTTTTATTATACTAAAAATTATATTACATTAAAAACATAATATATTTTAACTTAAAAAGTACCATTAGTGTATCTTTCTAACAAATGATCAATTAATAAGTTTTGAAGTGAGAAACAAATTTCTTTATATCCGATTCTTTATCTTCCATTTTTCTAAATTGACTAAGAAACTTCTCAGACTAAATATTTTCATATTTGGTGTTTGAAAGATGGAGTTTCTCTTCCCACTTCAATTAGTGCATTAAGATCAAATTCATTCTCAATTATCATGTTATGTTGATTATACAAGTACTCATTAATGTTATGTAACTAAAAAGAGGGAAGATAGCCCTCGATACTTATATTATTTTAGTGCATGAAGAAAAACTTAGAACTCCCCGGTTGTTCATGTTTAATGGGCGACTCACACCCATTCTTGAGATCTATTGGTTCCATCCCGTTCCAACGGCCAGTCTGTTAATTTTGAGAATTTCCAAGGTTCTAGAGTCATGTTTACTGACTTACATGTATCGCAAATCACTTCCAGATAGGTCACCCATCCTTTGACTACTCTAGCTCAAGTACGCTTAACTCTGAAGTTCTCTTTGGATGTGCTCCCAAAGAGGTAAGTGCACTTTTGTGACATACGTAGCTAAATCCGTCCTCTTAAGCCTTCCCATATATCACAACTTGGGATGTTACAATTCACCCCCTCTCAAAGAACGCAACGTCCTCGTTACACCCACGACAGGTCTCAAGACACCGCCTCTCAGGTCATAACAGAGATGGTTAACCAGCTCTGATACCACTTGTAACGCTCCGACCGCCCACAGCTAATGGACCACCCACACCCGCTCTCTTGACCCATGGGCCCCATCCTGCTCCAACAGCCGGTCCGTTAATTTTTCAAGGTTTTAGAGCCATGTTTACTAACGCTGGAATCACCACATGACATTTCCCCGTGTTTTGTCCTCACTTACACGGTATCGTAAATCACTTCTCGATATCTTACCCATCCTCTGACTACTTCAGCTCAAGTACGCTTAACTCTAGAGTTCTCTCTGAATATGTTCCCCAAAAGGTAATTGTACCTTGGTAGCATAGAGAGTCAAATCAATCCTCTTAAGCCTTTCCATATATCACAACTCGGGATGTTACATATTAATTATATAGAAAATACATATTATGTTTGTAGGATCACTACACGAAAATAGGGTATTTTTTGATGAAATTTTTGACCGAGGATAATTTTATCGAACGTTACTGTAAAATTTATGATGAGATCCTAACAGAATTTAAAATTTGACGTTTATTGGAAATATCTTAGTAATTTTCGACGAAATCTAAACGAAATTACATTCATAAGAAGCAATCAACGAATAATACCTGTATCAGTAACTAATTTTCATAGAGTTCGAAGAACAAAATATATAAGCCATTGTAACTATTAAAAAAATTATCCGGCAAAAATTATAAGACGAATTCCCCATGAAAATATGAAAGTTTTATAACTGTTTGAAAATTTTAATTTTTTTTTGAATTTAGCATGTTCGTCAAAAATTCATCACAAATCCGTTGGAAATGACGACAATTTTCATCTATAATTACAATTCACCCATGATTCACAAAAAAGCACAAAATATGGTTACACTGATTATTTTTTGGTCGTTGATGGATAAACCTACTTTGGATCCAGCAAAAAAAATATACTTACATAAGATATGAAAATGGTATAAGCTATTTGAATTATGTGGCTCAACGAGAACTGGAAGCTATACAAACCCATAAGCTGAAATGTCCATGTTGTTCTTGTAAGAAGGAATATTAAGAAGGAGCATAGTTCGCCCTAGCTTAAGTATCTCCCAGGCACAAGTTCCTAAGCACCGTCAACCATGTGCTCTCTCGACGCCAAAGGCAAACTGGCTCTCCGGCGTTGCCGTCAGTTTACTCTCCCATTCTCCATTGTCTCCATCTTTGTTCCTCTCATCATCTCAATCCTTTACGTTCGTCTCGCTTCCTGGATCAGCACCATCTCTCCATCACATCTTGTCTTTACAATCTCTCTACCCCCTCTCGTCGTCACCATCTCTCCACCACCTCTCGTCGTCACTATCTCTCTTCCTTGTTGGTGTCAAAATCAGTCACGACGAAATCATTCGCTAAAAGTCTCCGCAAAAATAAAAATACATTTTATAAAACTCGAGAAGTCGTTTTATAAAACTCGAGAAAACATTTTATAAAACTTGAAAAATCGTTTTATAAAACCCGAGAAGTCGTTTTATAAAACTTGAGAAATCGTTTTATAAAACTCGAGAAATCATTTTAAAAAATCCGAGAAATCGTTTCATAAATTCAAAAGAAATTTCCAAACAAACGAAATCCACGGAAAACTCGGAAATTTTTATCTCGGAAGAACGAAACAAACGCCGATTACACAATCGTACGAGTTACTCACAAAACCGCAAAACACCACATCCTCCGTAAACCGCGACCTTGTCACATCACGACTAGCTCGCCGTACGGCGAGCTAGTCCCATCATGAGTAGCTCGCCGTACGGCGAGCTGAACCGGTCCGGTTCGGCTTGTCGTATGTCGAGCCGGTCATCCCAAGCCTCGACCTCCCACGTCCTCGATTCAAGGCATACGTCCTTCGACACGATCATATTACGAACCACGGTCGAAATGTCTCCCGTTTCGTCTTGATCCGTCCTATCGTTCGAGTTTTATGATAAAAACCGTAAAACTTTGTTTTCTCGAAAAGAACTCAAGGAAATCGTATAAAACGGCAACAGTTAAACGAATCACCGAACATTTCCTAAACTATACGATTTATTCGAGATTTTTTGTAAAAATCGTAAAAAACGCATTTCTAATAAAAAACTACGAGTGAATCGTAAAAACGGCAACGATTAACCAAAAAACGAACGTAGCTAAACTTTACAATTAACTCGAGGAATTTATTAAAAATGGCATCAAATTAAGACACAGTCTCGTATAAAGTCGTAAAACGGAATTATCGCAAAACGGCTCAGAAGATCCTAAAAACGTGATAAAAGTCCATCTCGTGATTTTAACAAAATCTAACCCAAAGATACGATAACGTTTTGACGATTTACCTGCAGAAGGAAGATAAATGTCAAGTTTGAAGATAAATGTCAAGTTTGAAGATAAATAGAAGATTTCCGCGGGGAAAAATGAAAGATAAACATAAAAGGAAGATTCTCGATAAACTTGAATATGGGCGAAATGGAAGGACCAAACCTCCAAGGAAGGACAATTTTCAGAGCTCTCATCTGAGACTTTTACAGCTTTTCTAGACTTAGAATTTTCCGCACTTAGAAAATTAGGCTTTTTTCTCGACAAGTTCGGTTTCTATGACTGGCGCTCAATTACTAGATCGAACTCGCCCAGGCAGTTCGATCTCTTGTCCAGATCTACCAACTAAACTACGTTTGACTTGATCCCCGAAAGGGGTACGTAGGCAGCCTTTCATAAGGTTCAGTCCAAAATGGATCAAACTCTCTTTTTCTTATCTTTTTTCGTCTTTTGTTATCGAGCTGCGACTCAACTAGGTTTAGGGTTTTATGTTGATAACTAGCTAACGGCCCCTGCGGCCAAAGCTTTTGTAGTCTCTTGTAAAGATCGCAACGCTCTTACGCGAATTCGAAATAAGATCGACTCTCTTTATAAATTTGTTATATCATGTTTTTTCGTATTTTCCGCATTTATTTAGTTACTTGTCGTTGGCTTCCGCCGAGATCTGGGTCCTCTGGAAAATTAGGGTTTTCCTAAGTTTCCTTATTTTACGGAAATTGACGGTGTGAATTTCGGTTCCCACATTCCTTCTCTCCCCGTCACCATATCATCGCCTTCTCTCGTCGCCACCACTCCTTCCCCACATTCATCACCGCTCGTCTCAGTGTGAGCGGAATCGCTGGATATACTAAGTTTGTGGTCTCAATCGCCAGATCTGCTTGTTCCTTTGACTACGTTGCGCCTCCGCCACCCTCACGCTGCCTGAGACCACAACGGACCATGGAGGAGCCGGCTCGCTCTCATTACGTTTTGGATTTTCTCTGCCTCCTCTCCGACCTTCTCACCTCCACCAGACGTCAACCTCACACGATTATCCTCTCCATGACTGTTGTGCCGGGACGGCTATCTCCGCCTTCAAAAGGGACCTGCTCCCCAACAGGGACCTGTACAAAGAACTAACCAAGTGCCAGTGTAAGACAATAGAAGACGTCCTATCCAGGGCCTGGGCCCAAGTGAGATGGGAAGAAGATGTCACGAGTCGGGCCAAGACCCAGCAGAAGCAGGAGCCTAGGCCAAGCAAGCCGCTCAGAAATGATCGCGATGAATGATCCCAATCAAGGCCCCCAAGGGAAGCCGGTAGACATAGCAGAGGCCGACATCCGAATCGCCCCTTACCTCGACTCAAGGGAATGAGCGTATCCACATGGCCCGACATCTCTCACCTGTCTATCTCAAAGCGTGAGCTGGTAAACGTCCTAAGGCAGATGGGCCAGCAGGTCA